GTGGGGGGGGTGGACAGAGGATCCAAAGCAGGCTCTACACCAACAGCAGTGTGCCTGACACAGGGCTGGAGCCCATGAACCTCGAGATCATTACCTGAGCCAAAGTCGGACGCTTTACTGAGTGAGCATCCAGGCGCCCCTAAATTGTATTTTTAAAAATCAAACATAGGTATATAGCTGTGTAATAATATCCAAAGCAGTTATAAGCAGAGTCCCCCCAACATAGTCATTTTCCTGCATTTATACCTCTCTTACACTGCTTACTCTTACTTTTTCAATTGTAGAAATTTCTGCTTTCTCTTCTCTATTTCCTTTCCCTCATGTTTCCAATGTATCACAATTTTTCTTTAACTTAATAATCAGTCTTTGTATTTTACGAACATGTAAGGATTCCCCACATATTCTTTCTTGTACAGCCTTTTGTTTTCCTTGGACTTAATAATTGTTCTGCCTTTGTTTTCCTTCTTTTTTATTCTTTTAGTAAGATATATACCCAATGTGGGACTCGAACTCATGACTCTGATACCAAGAATCACATGCTCTACTGACTGAGACAGCCGGGTGCCCCTTTTGCCTTTCCTTTCAATTAGTCTTCTAAAATGTAAAAAATTCTTAGTCCTTGCTTATCTTGAAAATGTTTTCTACACTTAGCTGCTGATTTTTTTAGGCATTAAATTTTGATTTGGGAATCCTTTCATTCAGAATTTTGAATCTCCTTTTGTCCTATTTTACAGTATTGCTGTTGTGAAATATCATTTTCTGAAAGCATTTTGGATCTTTGAACTTCATTTTTTAAAAATTTGGATTAAATACTGTTTAAAACTGTCTGTTCGCTGAATTTCCAATCACAGAACTTAGCATTGTTTTCAATATGAGAAAATGTTCAGAATCCAGAACAACTGTAAGACTCATAAGGCCATTGAGAAAATGCCTTTCTATCATGAAAAACTATTGTCTTTCATTGAACAAGGAAAGTTTAGTCAGACTCTGCATCTGTAGTAGGGGTTTTTCAAGTTCATTATGCCTAACAATCACCGGGTGATGCTTGTTTTTCCATGTACTTTCCTTGATCCCTCCCTGAGATCTTTGGATTCAGTAAATCTGACTAAGGATCACCTGGTGATTCTTCCTAACCACGAGGATTTCTCGATCCCTCCCCAAGATGTTCGGCTTCAATAAATCTGGTGTGACACTAAGAAATTTTCATTTTCCTAAGCAGGGACCCTGGTGGTCCTGCACCATTATTCTACAAGCTGGAGTGGTATGGAACCGAAAGTCTTTAGGCACTGGGGAAATGGATGCTAATTTAAACTTCTTCTTTCATGTATACAAATAGGTAGCATCTTTAAATAAATCTGTAACCTGGGTGCGCCTTTTGCATGTGGTTTTTGAATCTGTGGGAGTATACTGAACATCCTCTTAAGCAGATAGGCTGATCAGAACCTGCCATTAAACACAGGATTGCGTTGTGTCATAATTATTTATTCACATGTCTCTCTGTCCCAACACCCTGCCCAGTTTCTGAAGCAAACAGAGTATGTTTTTAAAACCTTTTTCAGTGAAAAATTCTGTGTTACTGTATATAGTTGCTTGTAGAAAAGCAACATAAATAATTATACAGGCCTGGAGTGACTTTTCTTCGTATTAAGGTCTTTGATGTGTTTTATGTTTATATCGTCATGTTTGGGTATCTTTGTTCTTTACGGACTAAAGTATAGTGGAAGAGCACAATTAGGGTCATTGCTTGAGATTCAGCATAAATCAGTTGGGTTATCTATATTCACCGTTTGATAATAGTTCCTTTAGTTTGGGGTTAGCTTAAAATTCATCCTATTTCTTTTTCTGTGAGCCAAGATTTGTTCAGCATAAAGGAAGCCAGCTCTTTACATCTCTTTTTAAGCTACCTTTATCAACAACTCTTGGCGTGGTAGTACATCTGTTAATTACATATTCATATTTACTTCATAAAATAATTCTGACTCAACTTCCTGCTTTGTTAGCTGTTAGTATATGTATTTGAATATTTTAAGTGTCAGATTTTCATTTTCCTTTTAAAAAAATTTTTAATGTTTATTTATTTTTGAGAGAAAGAGACTGAGCGTGAGCAGGGGAGGGGCAGAGAGTGAGGGAGACCCACAGACTCCTAAAGAAGGCTCCGGGCTCTGAGCTGTTGGCACAGAGCCTGAGGTGGGTCTCAAACTCATGAACTACGAGATCATGACCTGAGCCGAAGTTGGATGCTTAACCCACTGAGCCACCCGGGTGCCCCTCAGATTTTCATTTTTAATTTGGGAGAAAAATACATAGCTGCGGTAAAGAAAACTTACAGATGAAAAATCATGCATTATTTTTTTCATCTTTGCATAAAAGCTACATTAACCCAAATAACTTGTATTTTAGGTTGGCTGGGTATCCTCGTGATTTTGCAGTCCTGTTGTATCTCTAAAAGAGTACATAACCAGTGTTTTCTTATCTCCTAATATAAATATGAAAATAGTGGTTTGATGATTCAGTTTAAATCCTCTTGTCATTTCAGACAGTATGGAAGAAACTCTTAAGTAGGCTGTATTGTTTGTGTAAATTCTCAGTGTCTGTTAACCCTTGAAATTCAAGTGACTGTTGAAGAAAGTGGTATCTATTAAGATGACATTCAGCTTTTGCTCCTCTGCACTTAAAAAAAAAAAGTGGCTTTAGAGACCTTTAAAAAACAAGATTTTATTTCTTCTAGGTAATTAAGTATTAAATGTTAGAAATACTGCTTTGTCAGCTGTTGCAGAGGCAAAAAAAAAACCTAGACGAAACCTATTTTTGGAAACCCACTTATGCACATTGCATGTGTTAGGAGCACACCCACAGGTCACAGAAGTTCTTCTGTGACAGCTGTAGATGTGCAAACCTCAGCGGAGCAATTTCCCTGCGTGTTATTCTGTCCTTTCCACAAGCATGTCAGGTAATTGTTGACTGTGAGTGTTGTTATATGCTCCGAAGTAATGTTAATTTTTCTGCTTCAGTAATTTGCATGAATAAAATATAGTAGAAAAACCAAAAACCCTTATAACTCTCGCTAACTAAGTTAGAGATTTGAGAAGATAATATGGAAATAACACATGTTCTCAGAAGTCTTTTGAAGTTATATTAACTATAGATGATTACCAGAAAAAGATGTTTTTATGAGGGTTAAACTTTTTTAAATTTAAGGAATATACATTTGGAAAATGTTTGGTAAACTGTAATTTTTGACCTTTGTGTTAGTGTTTTTTACATTTTATTTTGCTTTTGGTAATCTTTTCCTTTGAATTGTTTTTCACTCTGGTGTTCCAACAGCCTGCTCTTTTAGCTTCCCATTCAATGTATATGTGACGATTTGTTTTTGCTTGTTATTTTGTGGGGAGCAAGAAGTGACTTGTTTACAAAATCAAATAACATTATGGCATTTAAACAATATTTTGTGAGTCCTAACCAATTATCTGCAACTTGAATTGTCTACCAAATTTCTCCTGTTAAATTCGTAGGTCTACAGAATTTTTCAAGATAGTGAGGATAATTGAAAACGAATTTGTAATAAATGCCTCTACTTGGATAACTTCAATTTTTCTCAAGTCTGGACAAGACTGTTTTTTGTTTTTTTAATAGACATTCGTTTTCAAACTCACACCAAGGGCTGTGATCAAAGGTAAATGCCATCAGACTTCAAGGTCTTTGAATCTGTAGGTCTTTATTTTGCCCCCTACTTTATAGCAGTGTATTTAAATTTTAACTAGGCTTTAGAGCAAGGTCAATAAAGGTAAGCTAGTTAATCCTGATGAATGTATATTATTTTTAGGTCCTCATATGCAGTGGCTACTTAAAAAAAAACCCGAAGATTATTTAGGTACTGGTTTGCATGGTGAAGTCTTTGTCTAAAGACTCCTTGTATAAAATCACCTCATAGTAACTTTTTATAGATTCAGAAACTCACTTTTAATACGAAGGTTTCATTGTACTCCTTTTTTTTTTCTGTAATAATTAGAAAATACCCGTGAAGTGTTTTATGTCATAAAATTTACTGCCTAACAACAGTTCCTTCCACAGGTTAGCCTCGCAGTAAATGCCTACAAAAACAGTCTTATTTTTTATGTTCTACAACACCAGGATTGTAAAGCGAGTCTAAGTGTATACATTTACGTATATTTGTAACTGCCATCTAGTTTCTTAATAGTAACTTTACATTCTGAATATTCCTGACTTTGTATATGTCATCGATGTGAAGGTGAGGTGGCCTTTCTGACATTCATTCACTTTTTCCCTTTTTCAACAGGGGAAAATGCAGTGTTGCCCTTCTGAATGAGACAGAGTCAGTATTGTCATATCTTGATAAAGAGGTAATTCACAATTGCACTTATTTTATGTTTTTTTCCCCCTTGATTTCACATGAAGCCTATACCTTTAAATGTATTTCTTCTGTACCAAACTATTGCACCGGGAGAGCAGCATTATATAAAAGTGTAATGACCAGAATACTTTTGGATAATTTTATTTTTCTGGTTAACTGAGAGAAGAGTTGGCAAAAACTTCTGTGCCGTCTTTTTTAAGCTGGTAATGAAAGGCTTTATAAGGTATGATGATGTAGTTGGTAGCAGTAGAAATATTTTTGGCTTTATGAAATAAGTGACTTTTGTGTACTCAATCCTCCTCCCTGTTTTTTGTTTTTGTTGTTGTTTAAATAAAGAGTTTTTATTTTAGGCTTTTTCCAGATGAGATCCTAGCACTGGTGGTCTGCTTTCTTTCCTAGAATCTCAATAAACTTTGTCAACTACAAGTGTTTCCTTCTGTGAACTTCAACAAGAGACATTTTAAACCTATTTTCACAAGTTGGGTGAGAACATATACTTCATTAGAAGGAGGAAATTCCTGTAAACAGAACATTCCACAATGAGAAAATTTTTACTGTTGACATTTTAAGATTTAACCTTTATGTTTTTGTTTTCCCAAATCTTTATGTATGTATGTATGTATGTATGTATGTATGTATGTATGTGTGCGTTTAAAGAATTAAAGGGATATATTAAAAAAATTTTTTAATGTTTTTTCAATATTTATTTTTGAGAGACAGAGCATGAGCGGGGAAGGGGCAGAGAGAGAGGGAGACACAGAATCGGAAGCAGGCTGCAGGCTCTGAGCTGTCAGCACAGAGCCCGACGCGGGGCTCGAACCCACGGACTGTGAGATCATGACCTGAGCCAAAGTTGAACGCTTAACCGACTGAGCCACCCAGGCGCCCCCCCCCCCCAAAATTTTTATTATACTTAAAAGTGTTGTCCCTGAAAGGATTGATGCAGACATGTGGAACTACTGTACGTTAGAAAATTGAACAGAGAAAACTAAGAGGAGGTAAATGTTCAAGGCAGAAAAAAGGTTGATAGTCTTTATAACTTACTCTTGTGAAATTTAGAAAAGAAGGTAATAGTGTTTGTTGTCAGTCAACATGTGGAAAATAATATGGATAAAGAGAATGCTCAGGTGTTACCATTAGTTCATAGAAGCAGGAATAAAAGGAGGAAACATGAGTATGTTTCAGTTTATTTTACTGGTGTATTTGGCTGTTAAGACGGTGTAATTTTTTTAAAAACGTGGTATTTTTGCTGAACTCAGGAACCTGAGATCAAGACCTGAGCTGAGATCAAAAGTCGATACTTAACCAACTGAGCCACCCAGGCACCCCTTAAAGGACAACTTTCTAATCACAATGTTTTCCTTTTAGAAAAATTAACATTACCTTTTACATTTTAAGCGATTTCCCATATTGGCACATGTAAATTTAAGGAGTCTTAAGCAACTTTTGTGGCCCTAAGTAAGAATTTCATTTTATTTTGCTGTATAGTATGGCAAAATCCCATTTTTCTAGAATACTATACTAACCTGTTTTACACAATAAAAGTGACCAGAAGTATGTGTACCTTGAAAGCCCATACTGTGCCAACGGCAGCAGCGTCAGTCACCCTAGTAACATTCTTTGTTGCTCCTGTCTTACAAAACAAACAATTCTGATTACATATTGATCTCCCTCCATCAGCCTATTGAGCAGGTTGGTTTATATATTCTGCAGATTTTTTTTCTTTTCCCCGGGTAGACTTTTTTTTATATGCATAAATTGTCATATTGTTGTGTTTGATTCTTTAGTCTTTTCTTCTGACCGTGACCCATGCAGAAGAATTCTGAATGGATGGTATCGCCTTGTCTGTTTCTCTCCTTTCCCTTTATCACAGTCTGTAAGGAGAAAGCTTTACAATCTGGTAGATTATCTCTTATTTGTAGCTTGCTCGGCACGGTCTTGGTAAAGTGCTGATGGTAGGAGCAGACCCCTCCAGCATATAATGCAGAGAGTTGTATAGTAGATAACCCTCAGAATCATAGCAGGAAGCAGGGACAAGACCTTTTAAGACCTTCAGTAGTGATGCAGAATTCAGCAAAGGCCTGGTAGCCTGGTCATTTTATCCATTAGACACAGTAACTAGGGCCTTTTTGCGTTTTAAAGAACCTTGGAAAGTTGGTGGGTGTGCTGGTGGTGGTAGGTAGTTACGTTTATATGCCTATTTATATATAAATATGAATGTTTCAGGATTCAAAGGAGAACTGCAGAATTGGAATTAATAGATGCTCCATGAAATAATGCAATGTGACATTTTAATTAGGAAACTGTATGTAAGCTCAGCTCTTCTAAACTTTAATGTGAAATGTGTATCCATTTGAGTATGTTGATGAAATGTGGGTGGACACTCCAGAAGTAAGGGCGCCTTGTGTCCTCGTTGTTTGGTGTGGGCTTTAGAGATTTAAATGATTGCTTGATTCAGGTGTCTTACCTTTGACTTAGAGCTTAGCTTTGCTAGCTCAGAATCTGTTTTAGAGCAGTTCATTGGTTTTCTTTTAGACTAAAACAACAAAACTTTATAATCTACCTTTATTGTTTGCTATTTGTTTTTGCTTGATTTAATTTTACACTGTTTTACATGATGACCCTAACATTGTTCTCTTCTTCAAGATTCATGAATTTATTCACCAAAAGGAAATTTTATATACTCTCTGAAGTTTTATGATTTCATTATCATGACATGGGCCTCATTGCTTTATAAAAAGTAGGAGGAGTTGAGCTTACCTAGATATTTTCTGTCATTTTTTCTCAGGATACCTTTTTCTATTCATTGGTCTACGACCCTTCAGTGAAAACACTATTAGCTGACAAAGGTGAAATCAGAGTGGGACCTAGATATCAAGCAGACATTCCAGAAATGCTCTTAGAAGGTATGTTTTCCTTTGGGTTTCAAGTCCTATGAAAACAAATATGTCTTGAAACTCAAATATTCTTTTCCTCATATGGGAGAGGAGTCTTTTGGGCTAAAGTTTAAAAGTTACAAGTTCTTCCCCTTGTAGAAATACAACAAATAACAACAGAAAATAATTTATTTGATCAATTGTTTGATTTTTATTTTACATTTTTGTGAGTTTTCTGGCTGGGTTTTCCTTTTAAATGCAACTTCTAGAATGTTCGTATCGTTGAACTTGTGTCTTCATGTGATATGTACATGCCTTGAAATCCTGAATGCTCCTAAATCATCTAACTGAGGTGCCTGGAATCTAGTGAACAGTTATGTTTTGGTGGGGATTTGGGCTAATCTGGGTAGTTATGTACTGGAGAGATTCAGAGCTTTGCATTTCAAAAATATCTTCCTAACAAGACAAATTTTTCTTTCTCCTGTTAAAACTGTACACTCAAACCTTTATTTTCTGATTTCAAAAGTAAACATTCTTAACATTAAAAAATGAAACACAGAAATGTATAATGTAGGAAATGAACACCATCTGCTCTCCTTCATTCCAAACCCATATTTAATCACTATGGTCGTTTCGGGTGTGTTTATTTGGTTCACGCTGGCTTACCCTCCGTCCAGGAAGGGTCCACATGCAGTGCCATGTTGCATATGTTACTCTGCAACTGCTTTCTTCAGTTAACCGCATAACTTTAGTACTTTTCCCTATGAGTACAGTGACTTTTATTCTTTTCACTAACTGTGCAGGTCTTAAATTTGCATGGATGTACTATAATTCCCTCTTCCAGCCCCCTATTGGTAGACTTTTAGGCATTTATGTTTTCGATGTTACAAATTGATGCTGCTAGAAAAGCTATACCTACATATTTTTTTCAAGCATAACTTCTTGGAAGTGAAATGGTATATACATTTTACATATTGAAAATGCTCCTTTGCTCTTCAAAACAACTATTACTATATTATGAAAGAACCAGGTGCTTTCACCAACAATGATTATGAGGAATTTTTTCACCCTTCATTTTTTAGCCACATTTTGATATATAATTGTCTTAGAGTTTTTTGTTTTGTTTTGTTTTAAAATTGAAATTATGCTTGCCCTAGTTATCTTTAGCCTTTAAATTTCTTGGGCTTTTTCTTTTTTCTTTCTTTTTTTTTATTTTTTTAATGTTTATTTATTTTTGAGAGACAGAGCATGAGTGGGGGAGGGACAGACACACACACACACACACACACACACACACACACACACACACACACACAGAATCTGAAGCAGGTTCCAGACTCCGAGCTCCGAGCTGTCAGCACGGAGCCTGACACGAGGCTCGAACTCACAGACCATGAGATAATGACCTGAGCTGAAGTTGGATGTCTAGCCGACTGAGCCACCCAGGCACCCCTTTCTTTCTTTCTCTCTCTCTCTTTTTTTTTTTTTTTTTCTTAAACTGTAAAATTTATTTATTTTGAGAGAGAGCTCACATGAGAGCAGGGAAGGGGCAGAAAGAGTAAAGAGAGAATCCCGAGCAGACTCGGTGCTGTCAGCACAGAGCCTGGCTCAAGGCTCGATCACACAGCTATGAGATCATGACGTGAACCAAAATCAAGATCCGGACGCCCCACTGACTGAGCCACCCAGGCACACTCTTTTTCAGAGAGAGAGAGAGAGGGAGAGGGAGAGGGAGAGAACGCACATGCAAGCCGGAGAAGGGCAGAGGGAGGGGGGAGAGAAAATCTTAACCAGGCTCCAAGTTGATCATGGAGCCCACTATGGTGCTCAGTCCCACAACCGTGAGATCATGACCCAAGCTGAAATCAAGAGTCGGACACCGAATGGACTGAGCCACCCAGGTGCCCCATCTTGTGCTTTTTCTACTTGGTTGTTATCTTTTTATGCATTGGCAAGAATTACTTGACTACTAAAGGTAAGCAAACACAGAAGTATTTACCTTGTCTACAAGGATTATAAACCTCTCCCCCACAGACCTAATTATTTGATTAAAAATTTTTAATAGTGACTTTAAATTTAAATATATTTTATTTTTTATCATACAAAAGTTTGGGATTTCTTAGTCTTTTCCTTTAAGGTCTTTACGATTTGCGTTACTCACCAAAAGGCCTTCACTTTTTGTTTTTGCCCACTGATTATTAAAACATACAAGTACTGCCAGGGGTGCCTGGCTGGCTCAGTTGGAGGAGCATATGACTATTGATCTCGGGGTCGTGAGTTCAAGCCCCATGTTGGGTGTAGAGATTACTAAAATAAACTTTTTTTTAAATGTTTATTTTTGAGAGAGAGCAATAGTGCAAGTAGAGGAGGGCCAGAGAGAGGGAGGGACAGAGGATCTGAAGTGGGCCCTGCACTGATAGCAGTGAGCCCGATGCGGGGCTTGAACTCTCGAACGGTGAGATCATGACCTGAGCTGAAGTTGTACACTTACCGGACTGAACCACCCAGGCACCCCAACCTAAACTTTTATAAAAACATAGGAGTTCTTCCATATGTTCTTCTCTCTCTTTACCTTGTCATACTTCTAAGAAAATGTATGCAGAAGAGTTAAATCAATAGATACTCAAGATAGAGTGTGAGAATTGTACACGTTGGTGTCCGTGGTGGCTGTGAATAATGCCAGGCTACAGTCATCTGTGTTTTCCTGAACTTAAGTGCCAGGAAAAGTCAGTCAATAAAGATTAAGCTTGAAGAACAGAACGCCATGTCTGCACTCACCTGTGTTTGGAAATGATTTTGAACAGATTGAGAGTAGTGAATCAGTTTATTATAGGTTGAGAGATTGCATTCATTGATGTTCTCATCTGTGCAAATCAGTTTATCTTCCAGAAGGAATTTTTACATCTTTAGTCCTTAATGTTTGATGTTAGACTTATATCTCTGTACCTAATTGTTCACTAAACATTTTATTCCCCCCCCCCCCAAAAACCTTGATGTTTAAAATTAATAAACAGTGCTGTAATGAGTATAATGGATAATTTTGTGCTCTGGATATAACTGGCAAATAAAGTAGAATTGCTGAGTCTTAGGGCATGTATGTCTGAAATTTTATACAGAATGCCTAATTGTCTTCCAGGTAGTCATTGACAGGTGGTGGGTTTTTCCCTTGTTTTAATTAAGGTATGATTTATACATAGTACATCCCACCATTTTTAGTGAGCAGTTCTGTGAGTTTTGGACAAAAGCCTATGTTCCAAGTGAGGTAGTTCGGCAAGTCCATCCGTGCACAGGCCAAAAGCCAGGAAGGTCCTTAGTGCTCATGTGTGCGTAGGCCCCCAGCCCAAGTTCCGCATCCCCTCAGCAGCCTTTGTCACTCCTTCCTGAACCCCAGTCCCTCCCATCTTTGAACTGTGGAGATCAGTCGTTCATGTTATCTTTTATATTATTTTTTATTATTTGACTTCAGAAATTTTAAAATCAACACTCGGGTATTGATTGTGTGGTTCTCCCTTGAGCACTGAGCATACACCCTGATGTATAGAAAGCCTAGAAATTGTGTATTGCTCATGGAGAGATAAATGCTGAACCAAGTCATGAAGTTGGGATGTTTCAAGTAACAGTGGGCAGAAGAATCAGATCATGGAAACTCACAAGTTCCTGTTATCCAGAAAACTATTTAAATATGGTATTTACCCCTGAAAGGCATAAAGTCTGGTTAGTGTGATGTTATTTGGAAAGCATATCTACTTAGATTAGCATTTTTTTAATTTTATTTAAATTTTTTTTTTAAATTTACACCCAAGTTAGTTAGCATATAGTGTAACA